ACAGAGCATGTTCCTAGATGATGCAAGAGAAGCATTTTTTTTGCCACTGGTGTCCCTGGCCTCCCTGGACTGTACTCGGGGACACTCTGCATGATGAATTACCCTGGAGAGGCAGGCAGAGCTGTGGGGAAGTAGAGGGGACTTCTGAAGTTGGTGACTCACGCATACCCGCTGGAGTCACTGAGGAGTCTACTTAAAACCAGCATTAGGACTACAGTAACCTATCTATTGATACTTCCTGTTAGGCATCTGGGTCATTCACTAACAACCATCACTAAATAATCTGTATCTCCCCAGGCATTGGCATGGTCCTCCTATTGTAAACAGGATCTGTATTTGTTCCTGGGTTCCCATCATTTCATGGCCTTTTCTTCCCTTGCTTGCTACAACACTATCTTGCAATCTCCACCAGTTCCTCTCTATCTCTGTGGTGCCCTCCTTAACTTTGTATTTAGAGCTGTCTTCTACAGGCTTGCACTGGGCAATGTATCTGTACCTCTGATTGAATGAGGTTTCTGTCCCACCCAATCCCACAGCCCTTCTGTCCCAACGAAACACGCAGAGGTTCTACATTAATCATAAACTAGTTGGCCTAATTAGCTCAGGCTTCTTCTTAACTAATCCTTTCATCTTAAATTAGCCCATAATTCTTGTCTGTATTAGCCACGTGGCTTGCTACCTTTATCAGTGAGGCATTCTCATCTGGCTTCTTCTGTGGCGGGATCACCACTGCAAACTGACTTTTCCTCTTCCCAGAATTCTCCTGTTCTTATTGTCCCACCTATACTTCCTGCTGGTCGCAACACCTATACTTCCTGCCGGGCTACTGGCCAATCAGCATTTTATTAAAATACAGCTGATGAATCTTTACAGGGTACAAGATCATTGTCCCACAGCAACCTCTATTCTAAAGAAATGCAAATTCTAGATAGCCCCACTCAGTTCTGTATGTTGGTCACTGCACAGTGGGGGCCAGTCGGGGTGGAATCCATTCTGCTCTCTGCATGCTGGGCCATGCACCCATGGGAGTCTCTGGACTTCCATCGGTGACATGGGTGTCCTTTGAACAGCAGATGCATCCATCTACGGGCTGGCCATCTCTTTCTGAACATGCAGCAAGGAACCCACCATGCAGCCCGGATTCACCTCCTTTCTCCCAACTCACATCTGAGCGTCTCCCACTCCCGTTTACTTCATGGCTGCCACCCAAGGCAGAAAGCCAGGAGGCAGGGATGCTCCCTGCCACCAGCCTGCCACATCCTGTCTGACAGAGTTCAGCTCCTGCCTCTTTCAGGCTACTGCCACAGACTGTACTGACCTCATTATTTCATATTTCATTTAGGCTGTCTACTCCATGCTCCAAGCTCCTAAACCTTTCACCGCTGCACGAGGAGTCTTGCTGTAAGGTAGCCATGAGGTCCTGCCACTGTTTGGAGACTTCCCACGGCTTCCCACTGCCCACTGGGTGAAGAGTCATGTCACACCCCAGCGTTCCTTCACTTCAACGTCCCTACCCTGCCTAGCCCATGGACCTGCTTTCCTCATGCCGCCTCACCCTCTGTCATGGGTCCCTCCTTAGAGCTCCTGCACCCACCGCATGCAGGTGACAGGTCCCTCACTGGAGCTCCCACTCCCCTTTGTCATGGCCTGACTGCTTGTAGGTGTTTGCCTGTCTCTGACCCCTTTGGATCTACAGTCTCTTAAAGCAGAACCTTTTCTTCATTTGGTGTTGTATACCCATGGCCTGACCAGCGGTAAGTGGAGGCGCAGACCCTCATCCATGAAATCCTAAATGGATGCATAAGCAAGCAGATTATCAGGCGGCGAAGGGGACACCAGTGTAAATGAGGCTTTGCACAGAATACTTATTATGCCCAAGCGCCCTCTGGGGGAAGACAGATTAGGGATTAGGGGGCGGGGAGAAAGCCAGGCTGTTCTCAGGATCCTAGGGTTCTGCCCTGGTGGATTCTACCAGTCACAGAGGGCTGAGAAATGCAGGGGGAGGCAAATGCATATTCTCTGCACATGCACAGGCCTTTTTTCTTGTCACTGTTCCTTGAGCAACACAGAGTCGCAAGTATTTACATAGCATTGGCATCAGATTGGTATTATACTAGAAATGACTTAAAGTCCCCAGGAAGGCGGGTGTGGGTTCTATGCAAACACCACACCTCCTTCTATAAAAGACAGGGGCATCTGTGGGAGTTTTTAATCAGAGGTCTTGAATGTCACCTTAAGGGGCATCTGCATTTGAAAACTATCCTCTGTGAGAATGAGAAGAACATACCAGTGCCTCTCAGCAGCAGGTAGTGGACCTGATTTGCCCTTCATCTGCTGCCTGGACAGATGGAGGAGGGGTGCCACCTGGACAGATGGAGAAGGGGTTGGCATGAAGCATGCAAGTTGGGACAGAATGGGGGGTCCAGCAGTAAGCTACCAATTCAGAGGCCCCAGGATGGCTTCTGCTAGGTGCTACAGACAGGCAGGAGGCTTCCAAACAGGGAGGGGTGGGGGAAAACCCCAGCAGACCAACTAAACTGGGAGAGGCATTTCCCATTCCGTCCCTTCCTGGTCCTATCTACCTCCAGAAACATCCCTAGCCCTACAGGCTCTCTGTGGCACTCTTCAAATATTCCAGACCTCTTCTCAGTCCTTCTCATGGATAACCAAGCAGGAATCCATTTAAAAATATGCTTCCAGGGCTAACAGTGTAGCACACCGAGACAGTATTTGCCCGGAACATGGGGTTCAATCCCCATCAGCACACACAGATACCCCTCCACTGCTCCCACACATGCCCACTATGAGCAGGGCAAGGCCATTCTTTATGGTATATATTTGAGGCTCAATAAAAATATGTGTTGAATTGACCAGAAAAACAATGAATACAATAATTACCTAATGAGTGAATGAAGTTGACCTGCATCCTGAATGCAAGACCAAGGCAGGACAGAGCAGTTAGGATTACTCAGTAAGACAGAAAGTGGGAGGGGCCAGTTCTACTGGACCCACCAGATAACCCAGCAAATCAGCCCACCCTGTTACCCAAAAGACTGGTGAACTTGTGAACCAAAGTTATCCTCTGCAGTGTTTAATGTTAAAAAAAAAATGTGATTTAGTAACACATGTCAGCTATCTGCAATTCATACTCAACTGTCCAAACACAAAGGCCCTCCCCCTTTCTGCCACACATAAAGTTTTATTAGAACGTAGCTGCATGCACTAGCTTACATACTATCTACATTACTGCTCACGCTAAGTGATAAAGTTACGTCGCTGTGTCAGAGACCATGACCCTCAAAATCTAAACTGCTGGAGAATCAGCTTACCAACCTGAGGAGCACACTGCACCCCACAACCCCAAGGAAGCTCGGTCCTATGGTAAATGAACAGTCAGAGTCCCGGAAGGAAGCTGCCAGACAGTGTCTGATGATATAGAATGCGGCTGCATTTCCACTCCTAAGTAGAGTAGTACTTACACTAATGGCAGCACATTCCTAATACACCGCGATGAAAAAGAACGAGTTAGATAAAAATATTCAAAGTCTAGAACAAGGCCTATAATAAATTGTTGCCATAATTTAAAGGATAGGATGGATGACATATGTAATTTATTTTTAAAACAGCAGCATGCTTAGAAAAATAGAGGATACAAATGCCTCAAAGGATTTATGTGATAAATAGCTCTGGGAAACGTGACTGAGGATTTTTAATGTTGATTTGAATACCGTTTTTATTCAGTGGCTTTTTAACCCTGAGAATATACTATTCTTTAACTGAGGAGTAAGAGGGAGAAAGATGTAGATAGATAGATAGATAGATAGATAGATAGATAGATAGATAGATAGATGGATGGATGGATGGATGGATGGATGGATGGATGGATGGACGGATGGACGGACAGACAGATACGTAGGTAGATAGCCTAAAAAGGCATTTTCTCTATTTCCCTTTGCAACAGACTGGCTAATTTGAGACAAGAACAAATCCACCCCAATTCTTGCTCTTGAGCTCATCTAGTCCAAACTGCACAGCACAGATGGAGATCTGTGTTCAGACACCCACTCCCCTGGGGAACCGCACTGAAGCAGCCACTCCCCAGGGGAAGTGCATTCAAACAGCCACTTGCACCCCTGAAACATCAAGGCTCCTGAGCAGGGCAAAGATGCTCAAGTGTTTGTTTTGAGGAAGTGTGAGATTAGAACAGTTAAAAAAACAGCCCCACTTCCCTTTTCCTAGAAACCCAGGTCACAGCTCTTCAAGGGGAACACCCTGCTGAGCCCGCAGGTTAGGGCGCTTGTGTTATGCACAATTCAGCCAGCCAAAGAAGCAGCTGTCAGCTTCCCTGTCTCCCTCTAGATGACTGCTGGCTGTCCTCTCACTGGGAGCCCTCCCCTTAGTGCAGGCTCAAAATCGTAAGTTGTATTAATAACATCCATGTCTCGGCTGGAGAAATGGCTTAGTGGTTAAGTCTAAGATATGGCTTAGTCTTCCAGAGGACCTGGGTTTAATCTCCAGCATCCACATGGCAGCTCACAACTGCCTGTAATTATATTCTAGGGGATCTGGCTCACTTGCATGGATAAACCTGTAGGCAAAACACCAATGCACATAAAATAAAAATAAATTATAAAAATAATTAATATTAATATATACAGTCCTAGATTCTAAGGTTTGAGTTCAAAGAAGGTTGGTGTGAGGTGTAAAGGATTCTGGGAATCTGGAAGTATACCTGTCCTCTTAAAGCTGCTTCCAGAATGCAGAGCGAGGAACCAACACCTAGCACCAGGGATGAGCAGGACCCTACTGTAGCCCCTGGCATATGATAAACAATTCTAGAACTGGAGGGTTAAGATGCTAGGTTTACCTTTCTTTGAGTTAGATTTAGCAAGGAAAAGCCCCCAAACCAGAAGGTGGAGCGGGAGGGAGAAAAGCAGCCCAGGAAGAGGCAGACATGTGGTGGTGGGGTTTAGAAAAGGCTCTTCCTGAGCCGGACTCACCATTGGTAGTCGTGTTGACATAGTAACGGCGGCCCTGAGGAGACAAGTAGCTGTGCCAGCCAGGTGGAAGGATGACAGTCTGGCTCTCCTCTCCCGGCGGAGGGGGGACCATCCCAGGCTTCTGTTGGAGAGGAAGGAAAGGGTCAGACATACTTGCCATTTTCACAACTGTTTGGAACCACAAAATGACTTTGGAATCGCACAACTGGGATAGCCTGGCCTGCAGGCATCTCTTGGGATGGGTGACATGCAAGATAGGGTGCCCCTCACAGAAGGCACAGCCCCACCCAGAGCAGACAGAACTGACCTTCTTCCCTAGCAGACCCTGAAAAAAAATCAAATTCAGGGTGCTGCGCTTGCCAAGGGTCCCATCACTCAGCATGGACTATGCAAACTACACCCGCTGTAGACTGTGCGTTCCACACCCGCTGTGGACTGTGCAGTCTATACCCGCTGTGGGATGTAACATCTACACTCCACAGGACCACTGAGTACAGCAGCAGACACAGCCCCAGGCCTGCTGAGCAAAACTAGCAGAAATAATTAATGCAGGCCGCGGCAGAGAGAGGTGTAAAACATTCTCTAATAATGTTGAGAGTCTGTGAGAGCTGGGTAGGGTTTCTCTCTCTCTCCAAGTGTCATATCACTGTGGTACAGGGAACCAGGATTTTTTTGAAGATGAACCAGACACCACAGGCTTGATTCCTGTGACCAAGCACAGTAACATTTGTCTTAAGAAACAGAAGAATATGTAAGCCGGAGCATTAGGTGGAAGGCGGGCACACACTGTAGCTGCATCTGTGATCCCTCTGGTGGGGGCTTACAGGCAATTTTTTTATCCTTTATTCTCTTACTTGTCTTTTCCACGTAAATCTCCAATAAACCCAGAAATAAAGATTCTCGGCTAAAGAACATTTAAAACTAAAAACAGAGTATCCAAATTAGCCCACACACTAGCTGTGCCTTTTGGAGAAGGTAAATTGACAAAAATCAGAATCGCAACTACGGAAGGCTGAAAAATTCTCAGCCATACCTGTTTACAAATACAAAAGGCCACCAGCTCCTTGGTGCCCTCGGTGACCCCTGCAATGCCCCACAGGAGTGGCTCCTCTGGCCACCAATGGCCAATATTTAGGAAAACGGGGTAATGATTGAAACCAGAGCAATGAAGGGTGTGCTCTTGATGTCCCTCTCCAGACAGAACCAAGGGGGCTTTGTCTCAGTTTCCTGAGTGCTGCCCAGGAAATCCCAGGTGCTGCTGGGAGTAAACATGGCTTCCTTCAGCCCTCTGTGGAGCCCTGGTGGATGCCATGAATTTCCCACAACTGGGCTCCCATGTTTGTGCCTCCTGCAGGGGCACCTGCTGAGCCACAGCGCCTCTTTGATTTTGCATGAAAGACTGTACTCTAGACAGGTGATGGAGAGACACACAGCAGCCAGGCCGACTATAGTGGAGTATCTGCCTCCCGGGAGCACAGATCATACACCAAGCACAAATGAACCCGGGAGCAGAAGAGACTGGCCCCGAACACCAATCACTCTAGCGTCTCCTGGCCTGGAAGATGGCCGGAACACAGGCAATAAAATAGGATAATGAAGGAGAAAGCATGAGAAAGAAGCAGACATGATAGTGTTCATCCATGATTCCAGTACTCAGGAGAATAAGGTGGGAGAATCATGAATCTGATGCCAGTCTAGGCCCTAGCAAGACCCTGTCTTATAACACCAAGGGTTAACGAATGAGAAGAGGGAGAAAAGAAGAAAGCAAGGGAGGCGTGGAGGAGGGCAGAGGGGGAGAGAGAGAATCCTGCATACACAGGGTCTAGGGAATAAAGTGGTAATTGGGGTTGGGAGTGGATGGCTGGGGGAGGTGTTGAAGAGAGCTGTTTTGCTGGAGAATCTTCCAGAACCAGAGGATGAGATGGCTGGTCCCTCATCTTTCCTTTAACTTCAGGAGTACCAGGAGGGGGTCCAAGAGAAGCTGTTGATGCAGGTTAAGCAAGTTTCTGAAGCTCACAGGAAGGCCCTGCACAAAGAGGATCAAAGGCAGAAGTGTAAACAGCCTCCGGCTCCAAGCACTCTGGGTGCCAATCCTACCTCAGTCATCACTGGACCTCAGGCAAGTGACTCAGCCAGGCTATTTCCACATCAATGAAACAAAATTTGCTAATGTTGGCCCAGGTGTGAAACATGCTGAGGGCCGTGGAGAGCCAGAGTAATATACCCAGAACACCAAAGAGAAATCACGACCAGGGTTGCTTCAAGAGATGGGGGGATATCACCCTAAGGGGGAAGGCTCTCCCAGGCTCCGCTCCCTGAGAGATAAAGTCCAGACAGACACACAGACCACCCCTCCACCACATCTGGAATGTCACCCTCAATGGTTGTTCAGAGGTTTCTGCTGCCAAGAAAGGGGGGTCAACATCCCCTGGAGTTGATGAATGATGTTGGAAAGCTGGTCGGGGAGAAGTTCTGTGGGCCACAGAGTGAATGAATTGAGTCACCCCATGCCCCAGGGCCTCAGCTTTGAAGCAACCGCAGGAAGCATGGCTCTCTTCCGTTTCCTAGTACCTTTCTCTTCAGAATGAATCTGGTTTATCCATCTGTGAAACCCAGCGAGCTCACAGGAAGCCTCAGTTTATACGCGAGGATATGACTGACCACGAAGGCTGAGTGTCCTGAGGCTCTCCTATCTAGGGAGTGCAGGGACCTTTGGAGAGACACCACAATTCTGAGCCAGGGAGGGCAGAGAAGGGGTAGGAGAGCACCCACTGGGGGGAGGGGGACTAATTCTTAATTTGGCCAATGTGCTGTGCTGAGGATGGTTTTCACACCCGTGGAACACAGCCACCAGCCACCCTCCCTGCTGGCCATCTGAGTGCCTTGCCTTTATCTCTGGAGCCAGCTGCAGTTCTCTTGCCTTTTTCTTTCCTAGGAAGAAGCCCTTGCTAGCTCACCACCCACAAGTCAGGAGTTAATAGATGCTGGAGACAGGTGGGGAGACGGCCCTCCGCAAGACTGAAAACAAGCATCCCAACAAGCTGGATGTGAGAATTCAGGGCAGAAGTATTCACAAGGGCCAATCATGTAGATAATACAAAGGACCATCAGTGAGGATATGGATAAAACACGGAATAGCCATATGATGGAATATTACTCAGAAATGAAAAAGAATAAGGTCCCGGTTCTCATTATATCATGGCTGGGCCTTAAAGACCTCATGAAAGAAGTCAGGTCACAAAGGTCACACGTGGTCTCATTCTATTATGGGACAAGTCCAGAGCAGGAAATGCCACAGGTTACACTAGTGGCTACGGGAGGGCCGTGGGCAGGAAGATAAGATGGATACAGGGTTTCTGTGTGTGTGTGTGTGTGTGTGTGCACGCGCGCGCGTGCGTGCATGTGCGTGCATGTGTGAAAACAGTCTAAACTAGGAAGATGTCACGGTTACACAATATACAGTGAGTGCATACGTGCTATGCATGGTCAATTTCAAATATATATATATTTTTAGTCACAACAAAATTTGTCTTTGAAGAACATACAGCAAGGCTAGAAAGATAGCTCAGAAGTTAATAGCAAGCACTTAGCTGCTCTTGCAGAGGACCCAGGTTTGGTTCCCAGAACTCACAAGGTACACCTATAACTTCAGTTTCAGGGGATCTGACATCCTCTTCTGGACCCCATAGGTATCGCATACGTATGGTGCACAGAAATACATGCAGGCAAATACTCATTTGCATAAAATAAAAATAAAACTTTAAGAAAATATGCAAAGGCAAAAGTTTAACTCATTGCCCGCCAGTCCTCATTTAAGAGTCCCAAAGCATCCAGTGCTCCTCGCTCTTATGACCTCAGCGGGGCAGGAACAGGCGGTCTTCTGGGAGAGCTGCCCACAGCCACCAACAGGGTAGGTGTGGATGCCTACTTAGTAATTAAGGACTCCCTTGAATTTCTTCTCTAATTAGTTCTCTCCCTAGCTAAATCCTCCCATCTGCACTGGCTAGTTTTATGTCACCCGATATAAGTTAGGGCTATTTGGAAAAGGGGCCCTCAATTGAGAAAATGTCCCCACTAGATTGGCCTGTGGGAAAATTTGTGGTGCATTTTTTTTTGATTTATGATTGACGTGGGAGGACCCAGCTCCCCGTGGCTTGTACTACCCCTGGGCTGGTTATCCTGGTTTCTATAAACAAGCAGGTTGAGCATGCCAAGAGAAGCAAGCCAGTAAGTAGTACTCCTCCATGGTCTTGGCTTCAATACCTGCTTCCAGGCTCCTGTCCTGACTTCCCTTCATGATGGAGTCTGACCTGAGAGTTGTACACTGAAAGCAACCACTTGCTACTCCCCCCAAGTTAATTCTGGTCTTGATGCTTCATCATAGCAATAGAAACCTAACTAAGACCCCTTCCTTCCCTGGCCCTTGAGGCTCCTCTGCTCAGCTCTCTTGGCTCTTTCCAATGGGAAGAGGAAGGAAGAGCAGAGAGGCACCTCAGTAGGGCAACAACACCTAGAACAGACAAGATCAAAGGGAGCAGAGAAGGCTGGTGGTTCCTGCTAGTAAGGCAACACACAGGACGTTCTGGTGGACTTAATAATCCTGCCGCTGCCTCTGAAAGGAGCCACCCCCAGGCCAGAGTGGAGAGCTCTTTCTGCTCTTCCTTCGTTTGTTTAAGAAAAAACATGCTTAACTCTACACAAAAGTTCATCCTCTGAGTGTGTGAAAGAAGGTATCAGCCTTTTGTCCCTCCTCCAAATAGGTGTAAAGATCTTCTGCGGTGTCACACCAGGAGGCAAGTTGTTTTTCTTTGAATTCTTCTGTGCAATATCACACCGTCTGATTATACATAGCACGTTTGCTTACACATGGGTCCTCTGATGGACACTTGCATGATTTCACTTCAGAGCCATTGCAAACAATGGTGCTAGAAAAACTCGTCCCCTACCCTTTTCATCGGTAACGTCAAGGAGTTTGTAGACCAAATCCTTGTCAGATGCCCACACATCTGTCATCCTGGCCCTCAGGACTCTGAGGCAGGAGGATCACCTGTGCAAGGCCAGTTTGAGATACACAGTGAGACTCTGCCTTCAAGCACCAAAGACTGGGAATGTAACTCAGTG